AGCCTATCTCCAGGCCTGGCTCCAGTACTACATGCTAACTGATGCTGCTACTCCGGTGGCTAAAGCCACATGGGAGACTCAGGTTCAATTCCCATCCCACTCTCAAAACTGGATGCAGAGAGGAGTGCCTGTGGTCCCAGCCACTTGGGACACAGAGGCAGGAGCACCACAACACGTCAAGACCTTGTCTAAGAAAAACAAGTCTCCAGGCATTGCTCCATGCCTCTTGGGGGTCAAAATTGTCCCTGGTTGAGAATTGTTCCTGCCCTAGCCCCAACAGAAAGCTGGGTATATACGAGGTATTTAATGATTATTTGCTGAATTACTAAATCAATGCCTTGGCGTGGTGGTTAAAGTGCTGGACTCCCACACGGCGACTACGGTTTGAGTCCTGGACCCAGTAGCTTGAAACTCACACTAGGCATGTGTGCATGTGTGCCCAAAATCCCAAGAGGAGAATGGAGAAGAAAGGATTGCAGCTTGGCCATCCCTTTCAGGAGGGGGGGTAGGGAATGACTTTTCACTTTTTCTCTCTCTGTCTCTGGTGAGCACACACACCCTATAGCAAAAATCTCTCTAAGAACCAAAATGATAATAAAGAGTTCAATGAATGCCTGAATTAATGAATGAAAGGCTGAGTGGATCAAATGGCGAAGACCTCACTGTAGCTTTTGCACGTCCAAATCACGTGTGAAGTCTATATTCCAGTCAAGCGTCTTCACAGAGGGCCCCTGCTTTCTTCCTCTCTCATACCCTTTCCTCCTCATCTGCAGTGTCTTCCCATTCTCAATCCAAATTCTATACTTGTTGCGAGACAAAGAACAACTCGTACACTTTGAAAGTACGGATCAGCTCCATGGCCTGCTCGTGAAGCAGCTGGAGCCCACACGGCTGGGAAAATGGAGACAGAATTGCGGCGTGGTCACGCCCATTGTGGGGTGCTTTCTCCCTCTGTGTCTGTCTGGCGAGTGCACATACTCTCTGGCAAATTAAAAAAAAAGAAAACACACATACACATTATGTGTGATACACGCACACACTATGTCTAATTTTTTGGCCTTAGAACTAAGTATCTTTTTCTCTCACAAACTTGCAATAGGTACTTTTTCTCCACTAGAAGAAGCCCTCCTTGATGGAAAGGAAGAGCTTGCCCTTTTAAGTTTTCTTCCCCATAAAGCTTGCAGCGGTGCAATGAACAACAGATGCTTAGCTTTTGCTTGATGTGGATTTTTTTTTTCTTTAAGCAACTGGCAGGTGTGTTAAATCTGTGTAGTTTGTGTGGGTTGTGGCATAGTTTTGTTTTTAAAAGGCTTTGGAATAACTCTTTAGTGTCTTGCAGTTTTTTAATAAACTCATTTCAAGGAGATGCAAACGCAAATAAAAGTAATTTGCAATGTTTTCAGTCGTCTATGAGAAGGCACTGAATGGGATAAGCAACGAGACAGATAACACTCTACAGTTCTCATGGTGCTCAAACTCCACTTCTGCTTCTTTTTCTCTTTGCTTGGTAAAATTGTCCTAAAAGCCCAGCCTTCCTAGTTTACCACTCTGAACACTGGCTATGGGGCCGGGGGCCCCTGGGCCTTCGGGCCTTCCTATGGAGACTCCTGCGGGCTTTTTCCAGAGCTTGTGTTTGGAGATGTCCCGGTGTTTCTGTTGTACAGGGCGTTTCTCGTGTTTTCCTTGGAAGAGCTCATACTTTTCCCACGTGTGCTCTCCCCTGGGACTCCAGTCCTCGGGCTTCAATGCGGAATGATGGGGAAAGCTCCAGAACTTACCAGCATTGCATTCGAGCTCCCCATTTAGTGACAGGATAGATACAGAGCCGGCACACTGGAGTGGGGAGGGTGGGGAAAAACCTCTTTCCTGGTGTCCCCTCTAATTCTCATAACCCTTAAGAAGATGGAAGACGCCTTTTGTTCGAGTCCTGTCAATCACATCTCCCGCAGAACAGCCTCTGGCGGCTTCGGTGTCCCCGGAGTTGGGCAGGCTCGGGGGACACTGAAGTCCACTCAGCCCTCTGTGTGCCCCTCGTACCTTTGCTTCCCCTCTCCTTTTCCCCACGTAAAACAGAAAGCCCGGGCTGGCCCCATAAGCACAGTGATTAAGCACTGTGCCTTGCGAGCCAGTTCCCATGTGTCTGATTGGAGTTTGAGTCCCGGCTTTGGAGGCTTGAAAACCCTTCACCTGCATTTGTGTGCATGCCCAGTATCCCCATGGGATGGAGAAATGGAGAGGAGAGAATTGTAGCATGACCACACCCCTCCATTGGGAAGATCTCTCTCCTCTCTTTCTCTCTGGTATAAAGATGCCCTCTCTGACAATTAAAAAAAACAAAAACAAAAAAAAAAAAAACAAAAAAAACGCACAGTCCTCTGAACCCTCCTCCTTCAGGACACCATCTCCTTCATTTGTCACTCTCAGAGCCTTCCCTCCTCCACGCTGTGCTCACTACAAGTGGTAACCTTGTGGTGTCCCCTCACTTGTTTTTTTCTTTTTGGAGAGGTTTTTGCTATAGGGCATGTGCACTCGCCAGACAGACAGAGAGACAGAAAGCGAGAAATCACCCCCCAGGGGGGAAGGCCATGCCGCAATCCCTTCTCCTCCATTCTCCTCTCGGGATCTTGGACACAAACATACACATGCCCGGCGTGAGTTTTAAGCCACCGGGTCTGGGACTCGAACCACAGCCGACTACATGGGAGTCCAACGACATAGCCATTACGCTAACTGCTGGTCCCCTCACTTTTTTTTTTAAAGAGAGATTTTTGCTATAGGGTATGTGTACTTGCCGGATATAGAGAGACAGATAGGAAACAAGAAATCACCACCCTGCCCCCCAGGCCACACCAATCCGTTCTCCATTCTTCTCTCGGGATTGTGGGCATGCACACACACATACCTGGTGTGAGTTTCAAGCTGCCAGGTCTGGGACTCAAACCACGGTCAACTACATGGGAGTCCAACAACGTAACCATTACACTATCTGCTGGTCCCAGTGTCCCCTCCCTTCAGAGGATGCATGCCCTCTCCTAGTACCCAGCATCCCTCAGTGTTGCCACCTGAGAGCTGTCTTGACTCTCCAGCCCTCCCATCCAGCTGCAGGTATAGACTTGGCCGACCTGTCTCTTGGAGGCTGTCCTCTGGCTTGGCTCCCCAAATCTCGAGCGTCCCCTCCTGTGGTCTGTTCTCTCCCTCCTTCACAGCCTCTTGGTCCACTTCCATGTTTCCACCTGTCAGTGAAATGTGACGGCCACCAAGTGCTTCTCCCCATCCACCACCCTCTGGCAGTTCCAATCCATTGTCAACTGACTCTAGGGTTGCCATTGTCGATATCTCAGACGCATCGTGTCCAAACCCAAATATAACCTCCTTCACGCTCCTGCGGCTTGTGCGCTCATTTTCCCTCCATTAAAGACCATTTATTCTGGGCTGGCCCTGTAGCCTAGTGGTTAAGGGAGCTGGATTCCTCATGGCTGGCTATGGTTCTAACCTCGGCTCCAGCAGCTTGAAAAGCATCTAGGGTGTGTGTGCACCAAATCCTGACAGGACGGAGAAATAGAGGAGAAGGGAATGTGGTGTGATCGCGCCCCCTTGAAGGGTGCTTTCTTCTCTCTCTTCTCTCTCTGGTGAATGCACCCACTCCCTAGCAATTAAAACAAAGGATTCCAAGCTAGAAACAGGATTTGTGCACGGCTCGCCTGCCTCACGAACACCAGCCGTCCTTCTGAGGTCTTATGAGTCTGCTTCCTTCTCTCCACGTCCACAGATGATCAAAATGTTCTGTCTGCCCTCTTCCTGCTCTTGTGTGCCCCGTCCTGTGTTAGGAGTTCTCTGGGAAGAGTAGATCTGACAGCCACTCCGGTGCAGAAAGTTCCGTGTTCGGAAGGAGGTGGAGAATCAGGTCCAACTTAAACCTGGAATCCACGGTTCTGCACCGCAGTGACGTCGCATGTAACTCCTTACTATGCACCGAGGTGCAGGGAAGCGCCAGCCCCACCAACCGTGGCAAAGCTACCCTTCCTTTCTCCGGCTTGAATGTAAAGCCCTGCTCAAAGGTCCTCGGTGGGGCACCTTCAGTCGTGGCTCCTGGCAGAATTGATCACGACCCCCGGGTCTCCATAGCGCTTCCTAGTGACAACACACATGTTCTTACCTGCAACGCTTGGGATGAGGAGTGTTTCGGCTTCTGAGTTTTCTGCACTTGGGGATCTCTGCATGCACATAGTGAGGTACCTTGAAGACGGGATGCAAGTCTAAAGACAAAGTGCATTTATGTTTTAGTACACCTTCTACACACAGCCAGAGGGTAAACTGGTCAACTTGGTATTGCGGTATTTTGACTAGGACTTGTATGAACTGTGTACGAACAAAGAGGCTGACTCAGAAATGGATGAAGACTGAGTTAGGGAGAGGCACGGCGGACAACAGGCCCCTCCCTCACACTTTTACGGGACTTATTTCCTTCAGCCGCTGCATGAGTTACGAGTAGTATGTGCAGTACTCTCCGCTCTGCAGAGCTCCTCTGAGTCACACAGATGAGCGGACACCGACTTGCGTGGAGCAGTTAGGGCCTAGCAGCAACAGACCCAGCCCTGTCGGGACCTTGTCCTAGACTCTGTAGCCTGAGACCCTGGCTCTGGGTCCTTGACTGACACCCATCCCGACCGGGCCAGAGTGGCGGCATCAGCTGGGTTCTTAAACTGCTAACTTCCGGTGTCACCCCTTCCTTCCTTCGCCAATGCCTTCCAGTCACTTCCCCAAGACTGGCTTTTCACCTGCTTGTATATATTTTACCCAGTCACTGCCTACATCCCAGCGCTATGGCCCAAAACTCCCAGGAGAGAATAACAGGGTGAAATCATCTTCACTGGAGTCCACACCCTACACATTTTCATTTTTGCCACACAGAACCAAACTGATACCAACATGTTTTCCGTGTTCGTTTCTTTTAAATAATAACAGTGGCTTACATGGTAAGAACTGTGACGATACACATGTTTGCTTTAAAGTCTTTATTATCCTGAATATAAAAGACAGAAGTCCTCTAGGATATAACAGAGTTCTTTTATGTGGAAACATTATTTTTTTTTACAAGTGAAAAAATAAATACCTCTTGAATAAAGGCTTATATGCTAATATGTGCATAAAAAAGTAGAGTTTTAATATTTGACAAAATGTCTGTGCAAAGAAACAAATGCATAAACACATTACTGCTACATTAAGGCAATATGAAAAGTATACGCAGAGATCTCAGTAAAGTGACAGTGTAGGTTTCTAGCCTCAACTGAGCTAGTATTGCACCCGATAAGGTCGCCGAGGTTCCCAACATCCCAGAAAACCCGCTAGCGGCCCAGCTTCCAAAATGCCCCAGTGGGAGTGGAAAACGTGTTTGAGGATACAGAAATGAAAAGAGGAACCAGCGCCCCTTTGAGGCAGAGGGGAAAACCGAAAGTTAATATGTCAGCAGTTACTTAAAATGCACACACCCACACGTCAGCTCCCAGCTCCAGAGACAAACACGGGAGGGGACGTGAGGTTTAGACACTGTAAGGCTGAGAAAGGCTTCCGAGTTGGCATGGCCACTCCAGTGGGTGAGGCTGGAGTCGCGTGTGCAGGAGACGGTGACAATGACTCTTGTCTAGAGGCCAAGGGGCACCGTCTCTTAGCGAGCCGTGCTTTCCCCTCCCCAGGAAATCACTCCCCCTTTTCACTCTTCAAACCGAATATCCCACCAACTCCAGAGGCCTAAGGCATGCTTGACAACTCCACGTAGGTCTGACAACCAAATCTGACAGCATCCTATAGTCAAGAGATGTCGGGAGCAGGAGATGGGCGGAAAAAGGAACAGGGGCCACCACACTGGTGGTCTGCACTCCGCTGGGCCAGGCTGGTTTCTGTCGCACGTCGCTGTCAACTTTTCAAAAGTCACAGAGTTGATCTTCAAATGTGTGGGCTTCCCAATCGCTCTTGAACACGTTATAAAAACAGAAATGACGTTAAGACGACGATTATTTCCTTAAGAAAAAAAGTTCCTATTAAAAATGTTCAGAGCTCCGTGACCATACAAAAAAGAACCAGGTAAATTCTGAAAACCGATTCTTACAAAATCTGCTGTGGGTAGGAAACTTACCTCGGGATACATTAAGGAGATTTTCAGCCTCGCTTCCTAAGAGGGACCCACTTTTTGGCTGTGTTTGCCACTTAACTGACATCGAAGAAGATTTTCCCTATTTGTTGACTTTGACCACCAAGAAATAAAAGTCCGAGGAATATGACTGTGTACCAGAGTGCTCCTGGCGCCCGCCCTGGGACCGCTGGATCTGTGCGTGGATGTGTTTTTGCAGTGAGGAGTGGCAGTACTCTTGTTTTCCTTCCTTTCTTTTGTTGACATCGTATGGCAGATGGGTGTTGGAGTGGCTCGCTTTCTCCATAGTCTACTGTTCCTACGGTTTCTAACAGCGCAGCCCATGGACACATGGCAAGTCCAACCTACTCCTGATGGCTTAGATGACAGCCAGGTTGAGGAGACTGGTGTGGGTGGGCAGGTAGACGTGCTGCACGTGCTCCACGTGGGACCTGCAGACAGGACACGACTAGAAAAGAGAAGCCAATGGTGTCTGTTAGAACCCTCGGGACCCCGTGTCTCGGTACCCAGTGCATCCAGTTCTGTAAAATCCAATGTGATCCCAATGATGTCTAAGCTTTCAATAGGAAGAGTCTTTGCTTTCTAGTGGGTTTGAAAGTTTAAACTTTGCAAGGGGCTAAAAGGGATTACGAAAATGAAAATGTAGACTGAAGAAACACCAGTCCTGGAGGGCAGCGATGAAGTGGCATGGCTAGAGAGCCGGATCCCACATGGCCGGCTAAGGTTTGAATATTGGTCCTTGTGGCTTGAAAAAATGCCAAGGGTGTGTGTGTGTGTGTGTGTGTGTGTGTGTGTCCAGGATCCTGACGGAACGGAGAAGTGGAGGCAGGATTACGGCATGACCACGCCCCATTGAAGGGGTTCTCTCTCTCTCTCTCTTCGGTAAGTGTACGTACCCTCTGGTGCTAAAAGATAAAAACTAAAACTAAATAAAATTAAGTTTTTGGAGGCATTTTAGACGAGGTGCAGAGAGTGCTGTGACCATGGAGGCTGCAGTCCCCAGCGAGGCAGATACTGAAGACACGTCGGGCAGTAACACAGAGACCCCTTCAGAAACCGGGCCCTGGCTTACTGACAGGCCGGGAGCAGGGCTCTCCACTCCTGGCTGGCCATTAATCCAAAGGGACTGGGGCACGAGGGTCAGAACATGTGTGCGGAAAAAGAAACCACAGCCGCTCCTGGCGAGTAACTCATTCGCTGCAGAGTCTACACGCAGGAAGGACATGGCTGTCACTCCGACTCAGCCTCGAGCCCTAACCACAGCTCTGAAGCCAGCAGCTCCGGAGGACTGGATGCTGGACATCAGGCTAGTTTTACCACTACCACCCAGACAGTGGACCAAGCTGGAAAAGCTATCGTAGGGCGATGTATAAGGTGCAAAAAATGAAAAAGGCTCTGTCTGAGCCACTTCTGGCTTACTTTTTGTGTTAATATTAAAATTAGTTTGATGTTCTAATAGGTAACAGCTTAGAGGCATATGTGGTAATACAAGGAAATTAACCACAGATTCACCAGCAGAGTAAACAACCCACTTGTGGATAACTGTGAGTTACCTATAACCCCAAAAATCTAAAACCCCAAATATGTCGAACCCCTTCTATGTTCAGAAAACAGGCAGCAACAGAAAGTGAGAGAGGGAGCCCTGAGCCGGCTCAGCTACCAAACAGGTTATTATCTTACAGCCCTGAGCCTTGTCTCCAGAAGTTGAAAAACTCTGTAACTTAGCATACTTATATTGTTGAAAATAGCGGGTGACTTTAAAATGTAATTGGTCCCCTCCCTGCCATCCGTGGGGAGGTGGGTACATCTGCCGTCTTGCAGGCACTCAGTAACTGTTCTTTTTAAGTTGCCTTACTTCTGAGGCAGAGACAGAAACAGACAGCCCCAACGGGGCCTGGATGCCCCAATCCGCTCCCAGTCTCAGCCGGCCCAGATCGAGGTCACACGTGTGCCCCATGTACCGAGGGAGATCTCTGGGTATGAACCTGGAAGCTTCCCATGTGGGTCAGCCTCGCAGTCACGCTTTACAGCTGCACCATCTGGCTCCACTCTCTAACTGCAGACCAGGGTCAGGCCTGCCAGGTCAGGGCAGGCTGGACACCCCCCACTCACCTGCAGCTGGGAGGTGCAGCGCTCA